TCTGAGTGGGGTATTCATGCTTCACTGCGGCATGGTATCTCAGTGGGCTAGCACTATAAAACCAGCTTAAGTCTGGGCTAGTACAAGCAGCCGCACATACACATACACATGCATGCATGTCGTCATATGGGCGAAATATTCTCAAGCACGACGTAAAACCCAATTTCACCTCACCTATAAGTATAAACTGTTTAATGTATCTGACGGCAATATCGGGAACTCACAAATAATGCAGTTTTTTGGGAAACAAAGTTTTCTTATGACTACCTAGTGTTTCCTTTATGATTTTGCAAGTACTTGGATATATTTTCAAGTCCAATGAGATAGCATATGTACACAAATGGTTGCAATACGTGGAATTGTTATCAGGTGCTTGCAGGAGGGACAAAGGAAATATGTAACAAAGGTCTATATCATGATACGGTGAATAACAAAATTACTGACACAAACACTGAAGTGACATGGATTGTGAAAATACATTTTAATGACAAAATAGACAACAGGGACAATGGAATACGGGAAATGTGCGTTTAGCGGAGAATCAATGTGATATCCAGACACCTTTAAGCTTCTCACAGCTGTGTAAAGCTGCATGCTATTCAAGTACTTGAGAGTGATTAAATTAGCAGGTCAACAACTGCGTGACAATTATATATTCTCCCATGACTACGTGAAATACTCGAATTTGATTGGACAATCAATAAAAGTAGACACCATCAATCCTGGATTGACAGTGCGTCTGATTTCATGACCGCTTCACTGCGCATGTATACAACACTGCCGCACTACTTCAGCTTGGCCACCAACATGGCTAATATCAACACAACAGGTGTGATGGAAATGCTTCTATAAGATTTATTAAACTCGAAAAATGCAATTATATGATTTTTCCTCCACAATTATTAGGGAACTTCACTACCACATTAGGGGCAGTGGGATAGCCTGGTGGTTAATGCATTCGCTCGTCATGCCGAGGACCCGGGTTCGATTCCCCACATGGGTACAATGTGTGAAGCCCATTTCTGGTGTCCCTCACCGTGATATTGCTGGAATATTGCTAAAAGCGGCGTAAAACCATATACACTCACTCACTCACTACCACATTACCTTGTATTATGAAAATATTAAAACTCAATTACAATGCACAGCCACAAACATAAACGAACAATTTCTAACTTATAAATCAGAAAGCCTTGTCAAAATACATCCCTATTTATACAAAATTTGCAGCAAAACGTTAGTAAACAAATGCCTACCTGGTAAATAGTATATTTGTTTCCGTTTAGAATGGGAAATTCGCAAGATAACGGTCAGGCGAAACACCAAATTTATGCCACTCATGTCCCGTTGCATCTTTAAAAAAATACATGCCAAACATTGAACCACCAGAATTCTGCTCTCTGTCAGCTTCCTGCAAGGCTGTCACTGCTGGTGACCTATGTTCGTACACTTTGAACATAGCTTGGCTACAATCCAGTCCCAAATGATGAATACAATTTCCAAGTAATCACAAGTTGGTCGCATGTACACAAATCATTGCGTTAGGTCAGCACTGTAACTCTTTCGTCGCATGCCGGGGTGGAGGCATGATTGAAACTCGCCGGTCATAAAAATCAACAGTCTTTGATGAGTTACAACACTGATTCGTAGGTCGATCAAAAAAAGGATCTATTCTTCTATTCTGTAGGGTTCAGATTCGACAGTCAGTGAAGTATTTTCTCCACTGTCACTTCAGATTTCAACCTTTCGCAAAATGTGAACACTGGCTCGTCCGCCATTTCAAACTGTTGCGTACAAGCTACTTCCAAGAAAATAAGTAGGTCAGACGATTTCATTATAGTGTTGCCAGGGGGGTTACAGTAACACGGGACACAAAACAATAGGCTGGTTTCGGTCATGTGAAGGTGGGCTTATAAAAACCAAGCTATTAGGTTTTACATTATTGCATTGAATGAACAGTAGTTTGTTTTCTTTGGACAGAATATTTTTTATGTTACAATGTTTAAAACAATATGAACGGCACCTACCAGTCCCTTCACAGACGAGTTCAATTCGCCTCTCGTCCCATGGCGGATTATGCAGTGTCTTCCGTGGAGCGAAGAAGTTCGATTTTAAATTGGTTATAGTAGAATGGAGATAAACATACTGTGTTGGGAAATTAGATGAATGTTCGACCAAATTGATAGTCTCTAAATTTCATTTGAAGCCGAACGTGTAACATCATGAAAAAGCATCATGCCACCAAAAAGAGATTTGTCTCCAGACCAGATCCAAGAAATCCGTGCCCTTCGCGGTGTGCTCCCATCAGCCGAGGCTAAAAAGCGCTTCAGTATTTGGTCCAAAAGGCTCTCCAAGTATATTGCGAGAGCCCTCTGCAGAATTGTCGACCAACACCCTCTTGCCCACTGGGGAGATAGCTCCAAACCCACCGTCGCCCATAATCCATGACTTCTACGACTACTTGGGGAGGATCGAGACCCGTGCGGAGCAAACCACAAGTATGTTGGTGTCTCGTGCGGTGCAAACCATGACTATGTTGGTCAACATCTTGTCTAGGCTGAACGACAACAACGACGGCGACGATTCCCTTCTCAACGAACAGCGCGAGGAAATAGAAAGCGTAGACGAGGAACAAGAAAAGACCTGTCTGGATATCCAGAAGGTGCAGCATGTCATAGAATCGGCCCAAAAGTGGACATGGATTTCCCTAGCCACCATGTTTTTCTGGAAGGTCGTGTAGATGAGCTGGAAACACTGCATACTGACCAACACGCCGGTCGACAGACAGGCAGCGAGAAGACAGAAACTACCAAACCAGCTTGCACGGTCCATCCACCTCAGGTACCCCTTCTACATGGACTAGAAAAAAATATGTGTGTGTTATCATTTGTATGTTTGCGTGTAAGTCTGTATGTTGTTTTTTTTCGCTATTTTTTCTTTTTCTTTCTTTTTTAGACTAGATAGAAGCTATACCTGCTTGGTCTGTACAGGTACTTCGACTCTCTGGGGAGCACCAACTTGACTTCTCGATTATCTTTCCTTTCCGAAATGGCAAGTAGCAAACTTTGCCACACAGAAAAGGGTCCACCCACCAACTGTAGGCATTCTATTCCGTTGGCGTCTCGAATCGTTTCTCATATCTTGTAGTGTATACTGGAATAGTTTCTCCAGTCGATGAATCGAGTGGCAGCAACAGTCTGCTCTCCCCTTTGTATTTCGCTCCAGCAAACTTTTTGCAGGTATAGATTCCCTCCGGAACGTGTGCCGCTTTTCGGTGTTAGTTGGATAGAGGGGCTGCCACTTCCATATCCTTGGGCCCGCTGTAGTTGGGCAAGGCGGATGTAGTGTAGTTCCTATCTGTGGGCTTCATTTCTCTGGTGAGCTTTCAGAAGAAACAAGACTCTTTCCCGCGCTTGCAGTTCTCTACGAAATGGTCGAGGAGTTTGTAGCGTATGCAGTCGTTGTCATAGAGGTTCTCTATGTTGTCGAAACAGTCGGGGATCTCAATTTGGTTCGGCACCTCGAGTGGGAGTCGCTCCGGGGGTGTATAGGGCATCTTTATGTTTTTCCTAAGAACTCATTTCTTGCTGTGCCACACTTGCAAGTTGAGTTGTCGTGCTCGAACAGGATAGGCACTGGTGGTAGAGTGGCGAGGCAGTCAGTGTATCGGTGGTGTCTGTCCTTGGTTTCCATACCGTCGGCGAGAACAAGTCGGAGTTTGCCAGCTCCAGGTTGAAATTGGTTGGGCGGGTAGAGGCAGACCACATCGACTATTTTGCCATCTTCTACAAATCGTCGAAAGCACAGCAAATAGAGTTCGCGAAACTGTCGAGGGATTTGGTACCGCTCGTAGAAGGTGTGTCCCTATCGCCTAAGGATTTGGTTTTCTCTGTCGTAAAGGAATAGATGGGGACACTTCTCCAGCAGGATCTCAAGACCTCTGTCCAGCGTGGCCCCGCCTCTCTGGGTCTGTTGTGTTTGTATCTTGGAGTCTATACTGCCTCGGATTTGCATATATCTGGCTTGCCATATGTGGTACTTCTTCTTAGCCTCCCAAAGGGATATATTGCCAAATCGGATCTTGGCATAGGCTTATCGCAATAGCTTGATTCCTGCCCTTGTAGTGTTCTATATCTATACACCAACATATCTCTAATTAGAGTGCACTCCCACCAGTGGTCTGTGTAGGATATTTTGGTTGCATTTAGACAAATGTCTCTCTATGTGCAAAGCAATGGAATATTTATTGCAACTCAGAATGCAGAGAAAAACCATATCAATATACTCGAACAAAATTTTCCCTGGGAAAAAGATTTAGAAACAATTTATATACTTACTATATACATAAAAAAATCGGGATCAAATTCTGCATATTGGATATTCCCTATCGCGAGAAAAATTGAAAGCAAATCTTTTTGATCTATTGTTTCAATTGCTATAAAAACAAGTTGAAAGATTTGATTCCACCAAATTAAAAAAAATTGAAAGTTTGTTTGGAGAGAATTTTCTACAGAACATCAAATAAATTGGGGAACATCATTCAATGTTCCATTGAATTTGACCATTTTTCGTAGGGCTGTGGGACGGAATTGAGAATTTTTACCTTTTGTGACAATCAAAACAATTTCAATCTTGTCTTTTCAGTTTGGAGGGGGAATGTGAAAATGGTTTGTCCATCCATCATTCTATTCACCACATTGGCCACGTTTATAGATCTATTAGTGAAATGGTATGTTTTGATAGTTTGGGATTTTATTAAAAATCATCAAACACAAACAAACACACAGCTATGTTCTAGAAGTGGTTTTGTAGTAAGCATATGCTATATTTTAGATATGTTTATTCATTGATATTTTAAATTGACTTCAGATCATGGATAGCAGCTGGCTTGGTATTAACTTTGACGTTTTTGATGATTTTCCCTGAAGCTCTGTTTCCATCTTCTTTGTACAGCTCTCAATGACACACTGTTACTCTTCCAACTATTTCTATCATTGTAGACACCTCAGCCTCACAGACCAAAAGGAGGTGTTTTGAAAGCAGCCCCTAAATCGGCTCCACCTTCAAAGAGAAAGCCATCTTCTACCACAGAAAATGACAAGGTATGGATATCACACACAAAAGCATTTCGCTCAAAATATTAAGACGAATAATTCATTTTTAAAGCAAGATCATACACTAAATGACTAGCAGGAATATATTTTTAGCTCACCAAGAATCATAGTCTCAGTCATCATCTTCATTTGTCCATCTACCTTCAGTCTATTGTATATAAACTTTGAAATCTTAGGGTTAGGGCATGAGCCTCAAACTTCAGGAGCATGTATCGCATCATACTGAATTTCTTATTACTTAAGGAGAATACTAGAAAATTGCAATAACTGACTGGGCGAAAAGGTAATGTCATCAGAAACGTGCCCCAATTTTTAATGCAAAAGAATTTGTATTTATTATCCCCCCGGCATGTAATGTTGAATTTCAAATAATTTAAAGAGTTATAGAATTTACTGTACACATCTGTATTGCTCAAGAAGAATTTAATTGAAGTCACAATCATGTGACATGATCTTGAAGTGCACATTCTAATCAAAACGATGATTTATGCACCTTTGTCTTTGAATAAAAGTATTATTAAAGGAGAATACGAACGAAAACAAAACTTTTGATATATTGTAAGTATATTCTAAAAGTCACATTCCGTGATTAAAATTGAACAAAAAGTTTGTAAAATAGCAATAAAAACACAAAAACTTACTCGTATTTCCGCCTATTACGGAAACACCCGACAGTTAATGAGCAGAGGGGGGTATCACATGACATGACGTCACAAGTGCCTGTTGCTGATGGCTTTCTCTTTGATTTTACCTCACAACTTAATAGTGTCCGTGGATTCTGAAGCAGTAAAAGCTGTTCATGGTGTCATTTCTGAAATGGAAGTTAGACCGTATCAATACGATCCGATTTTACATCTTGCAAAACAATCTTCCTCTGAAGATGAAGAAGAAGAATCAAGCGAAACGGAGGCCCCCGCTTGAGGTCAAATGAATTTACAAATAGACCATATCATTTAACAAGATTACTATCTGTCAGCAAAATGTCATACAGTTCCAGCCAGCAAACTCACCCCTATAAATATATGACCAGTCACTAAGAATTATTTAAAAAAAAATGTGATTACAGTTCATTTGGTGTCAAATGGGTGACTGTAGGGTGTCTGGGATTTAAAAACAAAATAATTATGCTGCAGACGAGGGAAAATAAAAATTATCTGCTTCAAAAATTACACTGGAATTATTTTGTTGAAAAAAAATTAGGATCCTAGTTCTCATTAATAACGCATCAAGTCTCGATACAAGATCCCAGCCTGGTCGAGCAGAGATAATATTTGCGACGCAGATAATTCCCCAAAAACTGGTGAATAATAAAATACTAGTCAGGACGTCGTATGTTTCCCCATTGTTGGTTATGGAAATAGTTATGGTACTCGGTCATAGCCTTAGAATGGCATCTTGTCAGCCAATGAGAATACAGAACAACTTTCACGGCACACACTACTGACAAATAGCAAGTCTGATGCCGACGTGCGTAATTGGACAAAATAGAAAAATATGAAAGCAACAAGTACTTCATGATTTGCCCTTGTATTCGGCAATGTTTCGAGTTGACTGCATCATTTAGGGCTCCAAACCGAAAAGAACGTTATAGCGAAACATTTTCAAGCTCATGTGAAATCACTTACTGATTTTGATAATATATATTTTTAACTAATCCGGCACTACTTACTTCCTGCACTTATTGCTTACGGCTCGAAAAGCGTGGCTTGCCAGACGATGTCAAAAAGACATAGAACTGCAATCACTTCCTGGTCTCGGCTGCTACTCGTCTGCGCATGCATCACCGGAAGGTGACGTCAGCCACCTCAGATTATTGTTTTTCGCACGCCTCGTTAGACGTGTTGTTTGCCAGCTCTACTTGTATCCTACAGGATTATTTTTGTGAAGCTTAATAAAGACTGACTTGGTGTGTATTTTTGTTTTTGTACCTCTACGAGAAGTGTAGGTATTATCTTTCACTTTCTCTTGTTTATTCAGTAGTTCTGTGTAGTGATGTCGTTCGTTTATACACGGTCCCATCATCACACTTTCACTTCGCCATTCCAACACTTCGCCGTATTTGATAAGTCGTTGTGTTTCATTTGGTTCAGGCTTATATACTATACCATATAATAGTGGTATATTTATTGTGCATGTATTATGGTCTCTTTAACTTTCAGTTGTTTTGCGACTTTGTTCTCAATTATGCTGTTATATTCATTACTATTGTATGTAATGTTTTTTTATGTGCGTTTACTGGGTTTTCTGCTTTATTGCAGATCCATGTACAGCGCAAGTTGTATACATTGTAGGGGTGGGAAGTCTCGTAAAGACCCTCATCCCCGATGTTTGAATTGTACCACTCAATGTACCCTTGGCCATAAATGTGCCAGCTGCGCTGTTCTTTCACCCAAGAGTTTCTGTCACCGAGAGCCAAGAGTCACCGAGTGCACCTGTCACCAGCATTCAGATGATGACTTCGCCTCTTATGTCACCGTGCATTACAGCATTTGGCGCTTTGGTGCTTGGAACTTCGTCGTCGCTTGGACCGTCGGCGCTTGGGGCTCCCTCACCTCCTACGCTGTTGCTGATGTCTCCGCAACGACCGATGGGTCAGCAGTTTGCGTCGTGTCAGATGCACCAGGCTCCTGTGTCGCAGTCCTTTCCAGTGTTCCCGGGGCAGGCGCCTTATGCGTATCAACCACCTACAGGGTTTCCAATGCCTCAGGCATCTATGATGCAGACGCCATACGGCCACCAGCAGTTTGATGTGTCCACGCTCAGCACTCTCTAAACTTTACTATCAGGTCAAGCCGGTACATCAGCGCCAATGCCGTTTATGCCACCAGCAACATCGGCGCCTCTCCCCCCTACGGCGCCTCCAGCGCCTTTGCCACTTTTGCCACCTCCGACGATTACGGCACCTCTGCCTCCTCCAGCATCGGTGCCTATCCTGTCTACTGTGTCTGCTCCTGTGCCTACACCACCGTCTCCCGTTGCTTCCACGTCTTCGGCAGGCGACCATAGGTCGAGACCTCGGAGCAAGGCGTCTTCTGCTAAGGCGTCGTCTGCACGTAGCCGTTCCCCCTTGCCGTTTGGTTCACCGTCCTCAGAGAGAGACTTTGCCCCAGACTATGAGGAAGACATGGGCTCTAATCACCTTGGCTTTGATCACGTGTTTGACTGGATTGCTGATCATTTAATAGCCTCAGTCCCTTCACCAGGACCTGATGTTGCAAAGTCGCTTACTATTTGGGACTCGCCTTCCTTAATGTTGCCAACACATGAAGCGGTCAGAGAGATTCTCTCTACACTTGATGAATATTTCGCGGGTATGTCTCTCAACCCAACTATTAAAGCGCCTAGAGTCCGGCGTGATGACTATCCTATTCATGGCTTGGACTTTGCCCAGACAGTGACTAAGGTGGATCAGGAAATGAAATGTGTGACAGGCTCTTCCTCTGTCTCCTCCTATAAAGTTCAGGATACAAGGGTCGCGGCTTTGGACTTAGAACTTAAGCGTATGCTCCGCCCTATATCGGCATTTGGCGTCAGCAACTGATGCCATCACTCAGGATCTTAAGGAAATAAATCTGGATCGACTTGATCATCTCACAACTATGATGCTATGGCAGGGCAAAGTGCTCACTGACCTGCGTGAGCACCTTAGGTCGGCGCTTGCCAACGCGTGCGTAATTTGTCGGCAAGGCTTCCTCTCCTTTTCTTCATGGGATTCGGGGGTTTCAGCGGGGATTATTCCACCAACCCTGGTCATCGTCGTCACTGTTTAACAATGCCATTCATGAAGTGAAAGCGTTTCAAAAGGGACAACGTCCTTCCTCCACGCCATCCAACACCTACCAGCCTCGGCAACAATCTGTTTGGTGTGCCAGAAACTCAGCGCCGTCTCGTGGCAGGGGACGTGGTGCCAAGCCTAGATCAGACAGGGGAGGATATCAACGTCGCCGTGCTCCCGCCCAGAGGGCGACGGCAAGTGAAGTGAGGGACACGCACGACTGGACACTCCCACCTCTAGTCGTCCCAGTTTATCCTACACCGGTAGGTGGGAGAATAGGGATCTTTTGGGAAAATCGGTCCATCCTAGAGGATCCATACGTCACCGATATATTGAGGCAGGGGTTTCGGTCCCTCCTCTCCTATCCACCTCTGACACTGTTCCCGCTCCAGCACAATCACTCTCAGTTTCAACACGACCTCTTAGGGGAGAACATAGCGATTTTGTTGGAGAAAAGAGCCATCGAATTACTCCCGTATCCCGTCACCAGGGTTTTATTCCCCAATATTCTTAGTGCCGAAGAATGGGTCCACGAAAATGAGGATGATTCACAATCTGTCCTATTTCAACGAGACTTTCCTGGAACGTCCTCCGCACTTCCGAATGATGTCCCTCGAATACCTCAAATCTGTGGTATGCGTCAACGACTTCCTCATCAGCCTGGACCTACATGATGCATACCTCCATGTTCCAGTATGCCCCAGCGACAGGAAGTACCTGCGCTTTATTTTCAACAATCAACATTTCCAATGGGCTGTCCTCCCATTTGGAATTTCAATGGCCCCGTGGTTGTTCATGTGTATCACAACTCCTATTTCCCGGTATCTTCATTTGAGGGGCATCAATTTCGACCCGTACCTGGACGATTGCCTTATGCACCTGTTAGACCGTCTGCTTCTTATACAACAACGGGATTTCACCCTTCGGCTGTTGCGCCAACTAGGTTGGCTGGTCAACTTGGACAAATCGGAGCTTGTCCCGACTCACACTCTGACATTCATCGGAGGCCATTTCCAGACGGACAAGAACCTAGTTCAGATTCCTCTGGACAGTTGGGACAAGATTCAGTCTCTGATTCCATGTGCGCTCTCCCAACCTCTGTCTCTCCGAGAGTGGCAGGCACTTCTGGGATTGTTGACGTCGGCGCAGGATCTTACCAGCAGAGGGCGTCTTCAACTTTGTCTCTGCAGCGCTTTCTTCAACCATACATTTG